ATCACCGTTCTACACCGACATTAATATTGACGTCAAAAGAGGAGTTCGGCAAGGCGATACCATCTCCCAGAAATTATTTACCGCCACTCTCCAGAACGTTATGCGAACATTGGAATGGGATAATGTGGGAGTGAAAATCGCTGATCGACAGTTTCGCTATCGACAGTCACCTTCGCTTTGGTGATGACATCGTCCTTATAACACAAAACACCAAACATTAGCCAAGCGAAAAGTATGCTTGCCAACTTTGATAAAGCCTGTGGAAAGACTAGTCTTCGACTAAATCTCACAAAAACGATATCCATGAAGAACAGATTGATTTCGTGTGCCCCATTCACGCTAAAGGGAACGAATATCTACGAATGCTCCAGTTATGTCTATCTAGGTCGGGAGATCAATATGATAAACGACTTAGCTCCAGAGCTGAGCAGAAGGAAACAAGTGACTTGGGGAGCTTTCAAGAGTATTGAAGATGTAGTGAAGAGGACAAGGAACAACAGACTGCGTGCCCACCTTTTCGACTGGGCGGTATTTCCTGCTCTAACGTATGCGTCAGAAACCTGGTCGCTCCGTAAGCAGAATGTAAGATCACTTAGTGTTATTAAACGCGCAGTCGAAAGGACGATGCTAGGAGTATCCCGCTTCACACAAGTAAGAGAAGGGATCCGAAGCCCCGACTTGCGTCAACGATCAAAAATCAAAGATGCCGTTTTGTAGGCCAAACAGTCGAAGATAAGGCGGGCAGGACACGTAATGCGTATGAATGACAACCGATGGACAACAGCCGTTAGTGACTGGATTCCTCGGGATATCAAACGTGCTGCAGGAAGACCACCGACCCAATGGTCAGAGTTCTTCACAAAAAGCCTAGAAGAAAGATGTGATGCTCGATGAACCGCTAGAGCGAGCAGAACCCACTGGGCTACTCTTGCACGCGACAGAGAAAAATGATTTACTGGCGCCCGCTCGAGTTACTCGACGATCAACGGTACTACAGGTGATACAGATGATAATGAGGAACTCCTTCCAATTACCGCCTCATGGTGGCCGGGAGATGATTTTGCTTGTTGGGCCGTGATGTAGAGCGGGAAGATTCACGCAACCAGCACGGTCTCTCAAGCTGAGAAGGAGTACAGCATTTCCATAATGAACCCCCGTTAAAGTGAACCAGTACCAGAATCCATCACCCCCTTGGAATGAAACTAGTCGCATAGTGGCAAATCTCCCTCTGAACCACGACAGACCGCCTGTGGTAGAGACGTGCTGGGGCAAACTATGGCTAGGCTGATCTCAGGACTCCAGGGAACCACGATGGCAAAACCAGCAAAACTCTTAGAAAATGGAAATTATACTGGCGCCCACATAACCAGTGAAGACGGATCGTCCATATCCAAGTAAGTATAACGAGGAACTAAAATAGCTTTCCAGTAAAAAATGTAATTGAACTGATTCAATGGTAAAAAACATTATTGGCAAGGAAAGTACAGAATAAAACAAACGTACACTGTCGTTTTCATAATGAACATTCGGTTGCCGATGCTGAGTTAGTGTCTTTGACATAGGTTCAATAACTCCACCAGCCAGAGCTATAAAGTCGTCTTCAAGACCACCTCCGAGATCACCATCAAAGTTACCCTAGAAAAAAAAACTTGGGTCACCCAAAAAACAAAGCATAAGCGAATAGTTGAAGAATAGGCTTCCAAAAAGGTCTAAATATAAGCTTCGAACTTCTAAGAAAAGTACGTTGACAAACCAACATGTGGAAGTAAACAAATATTCTGACGAACTTTTCTCACGTAATTCAACCTTCTATAATTTAGATACTGTTCTCCAACTAAACGGAGCTAAAAGAAAATGGAGCTAATTCAAGACCCTATACCATGTTCTACACCCACGTACTTCCAGAGCTTCTTCGATATCTTCATCAAAAATCTCATCTTCTTCAATTTTTGGTACGGATTTTGTTTCTCCGAACAAAGCCGACGGTGTTGGAGCTTGCAGTTTTGGTGCACGAACTATAAATCTATCTTTCTCGTCCAACGTTTGTAGAGTTGTGGTCTGTAAAATAAATGTAAAATAAACACTTTTTCCGAAAGCATCTCTTTCCCATTAGCAAAAGGAAAGACCTGTAGTAGTACTTAGTACACCTGCAACTCACTTCACGTTTCAAAAACAGTTCTATTTAATCCAACGGTTTACCGCCTCATCGTAGCTGGGAGGTGTTCCTGGCTGCCAGGCTGCAATGTACGCGGGGATGAATCATTTCCTGGAGAGTCTACCAAGCAGAGGAGTCTGGCATTTCCATTAAGAAGCCCAGCTAAGAGTAAATCAATACCAGGTCCACCACAGTCTTGGTATTAAACTAGTCGCATAGTGGTAAAACACCCTCTAATCCACAACGGCGGCGACTGCCTCTAGTGGTGACGACCTGGGGCAGACTTTGACAACACTGACCTCGGAACTGCAGGGAAACACATTGGCTAAACCAGCAAAACTCCGAAACACTGGAAATTATGCTGAGGCCCGCACAACCAGTGAAGGTGAGCCATTGACGCATCCAAGTAAGTCATCGCTCACCTCTCTAATATCTCGTAGATGTTGCATGTAGTCATAATCATCATCAAAATAAATACCATATTTATGTTGTTCTTCCAAGTGTTCCTCAGTGGGAATAAACCTACAAGCGAAAACATTTGAAACCCATACCTTTCAGATTCAAATAAGTATCGAATAGTAAACGTAGAACTGGAGCACACCTTTTTTCATCGACTGCTGTACTCTCCGCAGTACTCTTAGGAACAAGTCGGTAGTGTGTAGCATTCTTTCTGTCCACAAATGCCTTTTTCTTACCCTAAAAGACTCAATTGTAAAACAGTCGAAATGATAGTGTTCTCAAAAGACCTTCCCTAATGCGATTCTTTGCCATAAACAAAAATAATATCGCCCTGGAAAACAACGAACCATGGAATCTTCAGATCCTTGAAAGCAGCTCTAAGCCAGGTAATCACACACCTGGAAATTGTCTCATTAGCCATTGAACGTGAGAGGGACAAGAAAATTGCCCCATATAGAACAAAGGAAAAATTCCATTAAAACAAAATTTGTCTTCTTTACATTTAAAGATATGCATATTTTTATACATATGACTAATCAAAGCACAAAGACAGCTAGCACATAGCGAACCAATACTTCAAAACCCGATACTTTCCTTTAGCCTCGGCCTAACCAATCAATATGTATTCTTTCATTTCCAGTTTTCATCTTCATTTATTCATTTTTTTCAATGAAAGAATAAATATATAAGCATAGAATACACGTATAACAAAGGATAAAAGGGTAATGTTCTCGGCCAATCCCTGAGCGGTGCACTATGCAATCGACTCCATTCGTAGCACCACTAGATGTAATAGAATGCATATCTAACCCATAGAACTACTCAGATGGCCTACCGATGTACTGAGTCAGTGCTGCACCGACAAGCCTCTTACCAATTTGCCGACCCCGGAGGGAGGAAACTCTTGGCGTGCCTGGGTCGCAGGATCGAACTCATGTGTATTGCAGGGCGCCTCTAATCATTGCGCTAAACGCGCCTTTAAATCTTCATATGTTTAAAAAAAGATATACGCTTGAATGCACTAGTAAAACACTTGCAGATACCAATATAATTTTAAGGATGACAGTCGTGGTAATATGGAAGGAGTAGTAATACGGTGGCCGTAATATGTGTAATTACACAGTGCTAATCTTTTGTTGACCTACTGAGATGTTTTTGTTCCTTTTCCAGGTACCGTATTATTCTTTCTCCTAACTTTCATGTGCTAGACCTTATACTACGTGTGGGGTTTGAAGTACATTGTATCCATAATTTTATATATTAATCAATCCCTAGTGGCGCGTGTGGCACAGTAGTCGGAGGTGCCTTGTAATACACGGAACGATCCCAGCGCCCTAGGTTTACCAAGCCTTCCATCCTTCCGGGATCGGTAGATTGGTACCAGACTTGTCTCGGAGGATAGCAGCACAGGCTCAACACATCGGTAGACCACCGTGAGTCATTCTAAAGGTCACATATATCCAATCACCTCCAACGATGTTTAGTGAAATCGAATGCATGGTGCATCCCTCAGGGTTTGATCAACGCCGAGAGCTTTATCCTTTATTTTATTAGTGAACTCCTATTCCAGTTATAACTCTGCTATGACGTGATCGGAAGATGAAGTGGTGTTGTTTCTTATTCTGGTTTGTCTATCGGCTTATACTCGCATGCCTTGCACACTTTAATTGGTAAGGTTATTTTTAGCCGTTCTGTTGTTTGAAGAGTCCTAGTGAAAGTGTGCTTAGGTTCCTTGCGGTGTACACGAATTGTGTTTACTTCACGTTATGGAAAAGTTACGATTTGCTTTGGTTTTGGATGCATCTGACGCTCTGTTCTTGTTTTCAATCCCTGCGCCGTGAAAACTACATCGTTGTATGGAGTAATCTCATCTATAAGCGTTACACGAAGTATGCGAATCGTAGCTACAAGGTAACTCTCGAAAGCCGGTGGTTCTTTTTGCGTTTGTTTACCTCATTTGGTACGTTTAGTAAATAAGAGGGACAGAAGTTTGCAAATATCCTAGCATCATTGTGGTTTTTTAACGAGTGACTGCTGATGGCACTGGTAAATAGAAAACTAGCGGATAGAAAGGACAAACGAAAAACCCGCATGGTGTGGTGGCGAACGCGTTAGCTCTCGGAAAAGGTAATAACGGGTTCGATCTCCGCCGCATACATCTGCGGTTCGGAGTTTTGCAAATATCGCAACATCATTGTGGTTAAGGTGGCCAGAATTGGTCCTTATTGCAAAGTTTGAAGATATATTTAGTAGTTGCATTTCGTTGGTAGTATAGTAACGAACGGTTACTGGGATGTGCTTGGCTTCAGGAACTTTACTTAGCTCTGTATGGTGCAAACGGAACGAAAGCTGAGCGTGAGCTTCATAGAATGGATACTATAGAGATTAGAGAAAAGGAACAAAATATATTGAAATCAGGTACGTTGCAACTTTATTCTTAATTCCTTAGCCATCACTCCATCACTCGGTACTGTCACTTATAGAAATCGACTCTTCCTCAGACGAAGACAGTGAAAATGATATCGATGATTTTGATTATCAAGATGTTAAAACAACAACGTGGTAAGTATTCTTTCTTCCTTGTTTTCTTTTTTCTTCAGTTGAACTTTTTAAAGATTTTAGTGGTCCACATCGTGTGATACCGGAAGTGATCGCTCAGGAAGAAGCAGAGTGCAGGAAATATGTCTACATAGGTCAAGCGGTTGACTCTCAAGCTGATTTACACTTAAGTAGGTTGCTTTTTGAGTTTTGGTATTTATTCTAGCTGGTCTAATGTTGTTTTTTTTAACCCTTTTATAATTTCTGGTCATCGAGAGGCAAAAGCAGAGAGTGATTTTGCGACACCTGTTCGACCTTCTCGACCGTCTAAAGAACCGCACACAAGCGTTAATGGTAATCTTTCAATATTTTTTTGTCAATTTCTTCTTTAATCTTTGCTCTTTCCTCTTCCGTATCAAACGTCGTTGTCCTCTCTTAGGGTGATAACAAACATTTCATTTTAACAGCATGTGAATCACGTGGAAATGCAGAAGTTGGTAGACCCATCAACAGTAAATCTAATATTGGGAATTATGGGTGAGTTTTAGTAACTAGCAATATGATCACTGTTTTGAGTTAGGTTCTTCAGTTTATGGCATACAATCATTTTAATGGTCTCACTAATTCTAGAATTGCCTTCAAAGACACAGTACTAGTTCGACCAACTCCTATATACGATGAAAATGAGGTAGAGAGAACGTATGCTATATTTGGAATCTTTATAATGTCTAACATACCTATTAACAGAAGTGTAAGAACACGTGGAACCGTATCGTCACCTCAATTCCAAAACTCCTTAAATCAGCATGTGTGGAAAAAAAGATCTCTAAAGAAAATGGCAGGTTTTATTCGTGTAGGTTAATTACATGTCAGCCTTGTATAAGTTTTTGTTTCAGCATTCGATATATTGGCTCCAAACTACACCAATACTTACGACATACTGGATGAGAAGAAAAGGGAAAGACGAGCGAAGAGAGATCGAAAAGCGCTAACGCAGCGACTGCGTCGTCGCAGACGGGAAGAATTGCGTGAGCTGGCCCGTCAAGAGCGGAGGTAACTATGGTCTTGTTCAGGTGGAAGCAGTGGAGTGACCGCTAAATATTTGACCTCTTGTGTGTGCGTGTTTCAGGCGGAAGAAGATAGCCGATTCAATAGAATTACTGCTTCAGCTCTTGAGAATGATGACGTCATTTGCTGTGTTAGTAGGAAATATACGAAAAACGTTCATCCCCGCTCAGTTCAAATACCTTAAACCGGGACAGCATGCGTATGATAATTACGAGCTTCTTTTGTTGTTTAGGTAACTTCCCAATCTCCTTTATTTAATTTTATCCAGATTTTTTTCTAACCATCTGTCGATTCCGTGTTGTCAAAACAAAGGAGGTTTCAGTAATCTTTTGTTATTTTGCAGATTACTTATGGTTTTGTATTCAGGGTTACAACGTTTCTTGACGTAAGTATGTTCTGGACGAACGTGATGTGGGTGTATTGTCTCCAGTGGCATTTATGTTGTCGCCTTGGTTTGCTAAGATTCTGGGTTTGGCTGGCGATTCTATCCTTTGTATGTTGTTTTCTACTTTTTTCAGTAGCACATTTCTCTTGAGTAAAACATTACATTACTATCACTGAAATATTCTGATCTGCAAGTATTTCTGAAAGCGATTTTCGGTTTTCTTTAAACTAGCCGTTAAGCACCTATAGGTCAATAACACGGCTAAGAGAAAGGTGAAACGAAGGACTCATATGGTATGGTGGTGAACGCCTTAGCACCCGTAAACTGTAATAGCGTGTTGGATCCCCACCGCATACAACAGCTGTACGGAGTTTTGTAAATATCTCAGCATCATTATGATTATGTTTATTTATGTGATCTTATAAACTGATCTTCTCAAGCCGACGCGAGGTTGGTATAGATCTTCGTTGTCGTTGTCGTTGTCGTCGTCGTTGTTTTTGATGTTATTGAACGATGGCTGACGTTTCGGCGACTTCGCCTTCCTCAGAACCTGGACGTACTTTATGTTAGAATACTTTTTATTATTCGGTGGAAAACAAGGTTAAAGTATTAACGAAGATCAAACTTTCAAATAGACGACATATTGAACAGAAAGGCCACTCACCGTGATGTTACGTGCGGGACTGGCCGACACGTAGTTCACGCGAGCAAGACACGCCCTGGGGTCAAAATATCGTTTTGAAATAGAGCGCCAGGTCACACGTGATAGTGAGGCATTCGTCCTTCCGGTTCATCTTTGGATTTTTGAAATATATCCAAAACGCCTCAAGAGTTTTGCGCGTTGATGTTTTTGATTCCTGCGCTAGGATCCGCACATTCACTTCAAAATCATCGCCGTTGTGCATTTGTGCCCTATGCGTACCTAGAGGGGTGTTTAAACGGATTTTAGCTTTCCCATCCAGATGTTCTTTTATCCGGACACAAAGTGGTCTACCCGTTTCCCCAATATATTCCTCGCCGCATGCATTACATGAGATCGAGTATATTATACCTAAACTCATGCAATCCCCGTCTCTCCCGTTAGGACAGATCATACAGTTTTCTGAGCTGCACAAACGATCATAGAGACGGTTTCGAACTAACTGACGGCGTAGGGTATTGGGTGGGATGTCAANCATCCAGATGTTCTTTTATCCGGACACAAAGTGGTCTACCCGTTTCCCCAATATATTCCTCGCCGCATGCATTACATGAGATCGAGTATATTATACCTAAACTCATGCAATCCCCGTCTCTCCCGTTAGGACAGATCATACAGTTTTCTGAGCTGCACAAACGATCATAGAGACGGTTTCGAACTAACTGACGGCGTAGGGTATTGGGTGGGATGTCAATAATCGTTACAAAATTTTCAAAAACACTTTCTTAAGCACTTTTTAATGGCGTGACTTACTTCATTTGGTATGAAGGGCAGCTTAAAGGGGATCCTACTTTCGTCTGAAATATTATTTTGGGAAACTACCCAATGTTTTCCTCTAACCCGAGTGGCTTATACTTCGTAGCCATTGGAGATGGCAATTTTTCGTGTCATGCTTCGCGATTCCTTCCTTTCCTCTTCTCCTGTACCAAAATATTTCTGGATCACCTAAGGCGCGCTCAACCAAGCAGCACGCATATAATAGAGTCATTCGATGTTAGTTCACTTTATACCAATGTGTCCAATGACTCCGCAATGCAAGCCATTCTCGAGTTGCTCGTAGAGCATGAAAAGAAAATAAAAATGCACGGCTTGTCGATTGCGCAACTGATGACCCTCTTAGAACAGTGTCTTAGTTGTTCAATCTTTAGGTGGTCTGGAAAATATTTTGCACAAATTAGAGGGTTGGCGATGGGGCAGCGTTTAGCACCAAGCCTTACCATCGCTTTCATGTCTAAGGTGGAAGCNCAAAATATTTATAGATCACCTAAGGCGCGCGCAACCAAACAGCACGCATATAATGGAGTCATTCGATGTTAGTTCACTTTATACCAATGTGTCCAATGACTCCGCAATGCAAGCCATTCTCGAGTTGCTCGTAGAGCATGAAAAGAAAATAAAAATGCACGGCTTGTCGATTGCGCAACTGATGACCCTCTTAGAACAGTGTCTTAGTTGTTCAATCTTTAGGTGGTCTGGAAAATATTTTGCACAAATTAGAGGGTTGGCGATGGGGCAGCGTTTAGCACCAAGCCTTACCATCGCTTTCATGTCTAAGGTGGAAGCTCTAGTTCTCGATCACCGACTCTTACTCTACTGTCGATACATAGACGACTGCTTCATCGTCTGTTCCACACAAGAACAGATGGATGAGTGCTTTGAATTATTAAACCGACAGTCAGAGTATATAAAATTTACACGAGAAAAACCTACCGAGAACTGGCTTCCATTCTTAAACATCCAAATTAAGCTCTCACTAAGTGGCTATTTAACAAAATGGTATCGCAAGCCAAGTAGTAAAAACATTCTAGTTCACTGCCTCTCCTCTCATCCTTCACACATAAAAAAAAGCACTTATCAAAAATATGTATCGTACGGCTAAAAATGTGTGCGCAGGAGAAGAGGAAAGGAAGGAATCGCGAAACCTGGCACGAAAAAAATTTCCATTTCCAATGGCTACGAAGTAGAAGCCACTCGGGTTAGAGAAAAACATTGGTTAGTTTCCCAAAATAATATTTCAGACGAAAGTAAGATCCACTTTAAGCTGCCCTTCATATCAAATGAAGTAAGTCACGCCATTAAAAAGTGCTTAAAAAAAAGTGGTCTTGAAAATTATGTAACGATTGTTGACATCCCACCCAATACCCTAGATCTATACCAACCTCGCGTCAGCTTAAGAAGATCAGTTTATAAGATCACATAAATAAATATATCAACTATCTATGCCGAGGTTCATAGAAAGTTGGTCTTTCGAGTTATTATGATTATAGTTCTCAAAATGCCATGCTATTGAACAAGAGTAGGCAGTAAATAAAAAGTGATGACTAAACGTTAAGGTCGCAATAGTTGTAATGCTCGCTCCAATGAGCTACGCTATGAACAAACTCGACTTGAGCTGGTGTCGCTTCCGAATCAATTCAACCTTAGAGAAGTACCAGCCAAAGTGGTGAACACATTGGTGAGTTAGTTGTAATAAAAGTGAGGACTTTCTTTATGTTTAGTACCTTTAATTTACAGATAAAGTACGATTTTTAAGGTGGTTTAATGAGATCACTACAGGTGCTCTAGAAGTTCGTGTTCACTGCTGCTGTTGTGCGACAGTCCGTCAATGGTGTCTAACCAATAATACTAGTGAAATTCGTGGATTGATAAGTAGTAGTTTTATGCTTAGAATCAATTGGTAGTTAACCACTTCGTTATCTCTACTACATGTACACTCTATATGTTTCATGTCTTATGTATGTATTTTGTAAATATTTTTACATTATTGAAATCGGTCGGTAATGACCATAAATCGTAATATTGGAAAGGCAAGCCATTACCGCCGCTGTATGTTGCCTATTAGGTGCCCATCCTAGACGTGTTCATAGTTACTTTATCCACGGCTAATCATCTCTGAATCGATTTGTATACTTGTAACTCTGTTAGTACTTCATCTTCACTAGTACTTACCGAACGGCATTAGTGTAGACGCAGATTGTTGACGTCTGAGCTTCTATCGGACCGTAATAGGATATTTTAAAAGTTATAATTTTATTGGACGAAGCTGTGAAGGATACTGTATTTCTTATGTGGTTTTAGAATCTTTTATTCCATTGAATGTCTCATATATGCGGTATTGCTTGAAGCAATACTGTGCCAACATATCGGAGATCCATAAAAGATTATTTCTTATCTTTTAATGGTCACATCTGAAGGAAATGTGTCCGTTAACGCAACGGGAATATTCCCTTTATTAATCGATAACTGAAGTAATAGGACCATCCATTAGAAGATATACGTTTAGATTAGTAACTTGATTTATTTATTCAAAATGACAAGGTAATGTCTAGGATTAGTCATTTCCATTACTATCACATGACGTCTTCATTTCTCGATCTACTATCTCATGACGACTGGATCTACACAGGTGAATTCGAGTACCTCAAGTAGTACTATATATCTTGAGATTTTCGTTAAGACAGTTTCTTTTTCTTTTTATCTATAGGTATACTGGTGTCTTCATTCCTCGTTGCATTGCTGCTGCGATGGTATCAGAATGATACCCTACAGGCTCATATTGGAGGGCCGATAGGATTTACAATGGCAGTGGTTGTAATAGGTAACTGGCTTGACTAACTTGGATACTTAGATACTTGGATACTAGGACATTTGTACGGCTCGTCCTCACTGGCTGTGCGGGCATCAGCATGTTCTCAATTTTTCGGAGATTTATTGGTTAAGCCATTGTGATTTCCTGGAATACCGAGGTCAACCTATCCAAAGTCTGCCTCAGGTCGTCCCACCACAGGCAGTCGGAGCCTTTATGGATCAGAGGGAGGTTTGCCAGCATGCGACTAATTTGATACCGGGACAGTGGTGGATCCTGGTATTGTTTTACTTTTAGCTAGGCTTCCTAATTGAAACGCCGGACTCAGCTTAGGAGACCCTGGCGGGGATGAATCTTTCCGCTGTACATCGCACTCCGACGTCCAGGACTCCCAGCCACGATGAGGTGGTAAACCATTTGGAGGACTGACTTGACTACGGAAGAATTTGAAGTGTTACACTTATTTGCTTCATTTTAATTGTGAAGTAGTTTGTTAGTGGTATACGAAAATGTAATACGTAAGTTTTTAAGGTTGGAAAATCTTCTACTCGCTTTCTTTGGCGGTATATGTAGCTATTTGTATCAAATTCGCGCCTACTAAGTAGGTTTTTTATTGGTTTCGTTATTCTTATTTTTTGATTTTAAACTGTTTGCTACTATGCAAAACAAGGGGTGCGTGTGGCGCAGTTGTCGAAGCCGCTTTGCAACACACACATGGAATCGATCGCTCATGGCCCATCAAGTCCTCTATCCCTCCTGGGTCGGAAAATTGGTACCAGATTTGTGTAGGAGGATGACAGCACTAGCACGATACATCAGTGGGTCACCGTGAGTAAAGTATGCATTCAATCACCTCTAAACGACGCTTAGTGAAATAGAATGCATGGCGCATCCCTCAGGGATTGATCAGCGCCGAGAGCTTTTTATGCAAACCAATGTCCCCGTCAATGGTTTTTCGCTTAACAGTGGCATGCGAACATTTTTAGGCGTTGAAATACGAAGTGGAGCAAGTGTTTATTCCGCGGCAAGGTCATCCAAACTTGCAAGGAGTTTGACACTTTTATTCAAGGCTTGCTAGTGGTGTTTTAGTGCCATCGTAGAGCTCAGCGGTAGAAGTGGAACTGTGACCTACGAAAGGCCTCAGAAGCTGAATGTCTTTCATTTTACTCGAGCGAGTGGAACCCACTGAGCAAAATGCCGATAAACAATGTAGTACTTTTTATTTACCGCGTATTCTTTTTTCATGGCAAGGTATGACGTGAAATACAACCATGATGATACTGAGATATGTGCAAAACTTCGGACCATAGGTGTATGCGGTAGGGATTGAGCTGCCTGTTACCTTTTTCGGGGGCTGGCGAGTTCATCACCGCACCATACGGGTCATTTGTTTCGGCATTCTAATAAGTAGTTACTTTAATGGGGCTCACTCGAGTGATTTGATCCTTAACACATTCGCACTAGTGTGAACAATCAATTTCAAGTCACTCGTAGGTGGTTATTTCATAAAATTATACCTTAGTTTCACTGCATCTTCTTTGTTCCCTTCGTTTTTTCTGCAGTCTCTTTTGCATCACATCAGTGTCCTTCCCACTGGTGTTGAGGTCCAAGAAAAGCATTTACTTCTATTACTTGTAGTCCCATTGATCGTCGTGTGACTCGACCAGGTGTTAGTAGATCTCCCACTTTTCCCTGTCGTGTGCAAGAGTAGCCCAGTGGAGTCTGCTCAATCTAGGCACTCGCTTAGCATTATACCTTTCTTTTAGCGTTTTCGTGAAGAACTCTGACTATCGGATCGGTGTTCCTCCTACAGCACGTTTGATTTCCCCAGGAATCCTGTCGCTAACGCCTATTGTCCGTCGGTTGTTATTCATACACATTGCGTGTCCGGCCCACTTTATCTTCGTTTGGCGTACAGAACGGCATCTTTGATTTTTGATCGTTGACGCAGGTCAGAGTTTCGAAATCCTATCCCTTACTTGTGTGAAACGGGATACTCCTAGCATCGTCGTTTCGACTGCGCGTTCAATAACGCTGAGTGATCCTTCATCCTGCTTGCGCAGCGACCAGGTTTCTGACGCATACGTTAGGGCAGGAAATACCGCCGAGTCGAAAAGGTGGGCACGCAGTCTGTTGTTCCTTGTCCTCTTCACTACATCTTCAATACTCTTGAAAGCTCCCCAAGTCACTTGTTTCCTTCTGCTCAGCTCTGGAGCTAAGTCGTTTATCATATTGATCTCCCGACCTAGATAGACATAACTGAAGCATTCGTAGATATTCGTTCCCTTTAGCGTGAATGGGGCACACGAAATCAATCTGTTCTTCATGGATATCGTTTTTGTGAGATTTAGTCGAAGACTAGTCTTTCCACAGGCTTTATCAAAGTTGGCAAGCATACTTTTCGCTTGGCTAATGTTCGGTGTTATGTGTTATAAGGACGGTGTCATCACCAAAGCGAAGGTGATGTAACTGTCGATCAGCGATTTTCACTCCCGCATTATCCCATTCCAATGTTCGCATAACGTTCTGGAGAGTGGCGGTAAATAATTTCTGGGAGATGGTATCGCCTTGCCGAACTCCTCTTTTGACGTCAATATTAATGTCGGTGTAGAACGGTGATATCTTGATTGTGAAATTTTTGTACAGCTCACGAAGAATCTTTATGTACTGAGTAGGGACTCCTTAACCATCAGCGGCTTCCATGACTGCTTCTATCTCAACTGAATCAAAAGCCTTCTGTAAATCGTTGAAAGTGAGACAGAGCGGTCTTTTGTACTCTCGCGATACTTCAGTGAGTTTGTTGCCGTATAGATGTGGTCCATCGCACTAAATCCTTTTCGAAACCCTGCTTGCTCACATGGCTGTCCTTCGTCTAGTGTTCTGTCAATCCTGTTTAGAATGACTCGAGTGGAAAGTTTGTAGACGGCAGATAGCAAGCAGATTGCACAGCAGTTGCCGATGTTGTGGAGGTCACCCTTCTTAAACATTAGCATGGTCTTGCTGGTCTTCCACTGAATAGGGACTTTGCATTCACACAGGTAACGTGTGAAGAGCCGAGCCAGTGTGTTTATGAGGACTGGCAGAAGATTCTTTAGGTGTTCTGGTCTTATCCTCCCAGACAAGTCTGGTGCCAATCCTTCCAAGCACCTTCGATCACTGCTCCATAAGTGCAGCTAACGATGCTTAATGATGTAAAATTCATGCCACATCCCTCACGGATTGGTCAGCGCTGAACTTTTTGTGCCACATAGATGTATATATTTTTATCTGTTTATACATATACCTATGCTTATATTTATTCTTTTATTTATTTAAATATTTCGTTTTACTCTTGTCATTTAGATGGTTGACATCTCTAATTTTCTTCACTTCTTTCGCCTACTTGATTGTTCTGCGGTACTTGCACTATATTTTCTGTGTAGAGGAACTCGCCTCTCTGACCAATGTCGTTCAACTCATCATAACACTTCGAGTAAGTAAACTACAGCCGTAATATAATTCGGAAGTAACCGTCGTCGCATTCTCGTCTACGTTTTTTTTTTCGTTTTACAGAAAATATTCCGTTATTACTATCTTTCAGTCACTCCTTCTTTAAGGTGATCGGCTTATCTTTTGAAGTTTCTGATTCTTTTTATGGTCGTGCTCAACAAGGTTCAATAACGAGGCAGAAACGTTTGCTTGAAGCCAAGCCTAATATTCTTGATGTTTTGAATTATTTTTACCACTTTGCGGGACTTTTTACTGGTGAGCCGGAACTGTTTCGTTGCTTTTAACGTTTGCAGTATTCGTATGTTATCCTTTTAAGCATAAAAGGATAAAGGATAAAGCTCTCGGCCTTGAGCAATCCCTAAGGGATACGCCGTGCATTCGACTTCATTAAGCATCGTTTGGAGGTGATTGAATGCATATCTGGCATTTTACAATGACTCGCAGTGGACTGCCGATGTATCAAGCCAGTTCTATTATTCTCCCAGACAAGTCTAGTACCAATTTGCCGACCTCGGAGAGATGGAGGGCTTGGTGGGCCATGGGCGCGGGGATCGATCCCCTGTTTGTATTGCAGAGCGCCTGCGACCACTGCGCCACACGCGCCCTTTTAAGCATATGCCACTTTTTTCTCTTTTTAATTTACTTTACTTCTTCATTGGTAAACTGATATGAGGTTGGTAAGAACTTCCATTTGGCATTAATACCCTTATCCACATGGCTGAACACAGATGACATTAATTTATTTAGTTGTGTTTGATATAATTATTAACCACAATATTAATTTGAGGGTAGAATTTTTGTTTAGACCGTATTTTAAATAAGCTTACAACACGTATGTAATGCTGAGATATTTGCAAAACTCCGGACCGCAGGTGTATGCGGTGGGGAACGAACACGCGCTGTCGTTCTTACCGGTGAGCAGCGCACTTCACCACCACACCATCCGGGTCCTTCGTTTTGCCTGTCTCTTACAACAGTTTCTTTTATGCAGGTCCGTACTACACGTATCAGATGCTGCTGGATTCTCAAGAGCCTGTTCTTTTTAAAAAGTGGTCACCAGTTTCGGAAATACAGCAGCGCGCTCTTCGTTTATGCTGGAGCGTTCCACTCTTCATACTATTGAGCAAACTTTATCCCCTTGATGTGAGTTCTGCTAACAAAGGGAAGATATCTCTTTCCTGCAACATCAACAGAGACTTTTAAGTGTAGATCTCTTTCTTTCGAGAGGTTTATGAATTTATTTCATCTGCTACTGAAAAACTTAAAATTCCGCTGACTTTTTTTGACAGGGTCTTCGGTCGGATTGCGTGTGGGAGATGACCTTTCTGCAGCGGGTGATTTATGCTGCAGCTGTTTTTGTTGTTTTTCGAGCTAGAGTCTACAGGTGTGTACTTCTAAAATGTCCATTTTCACGTTACGTCTTATCTTCAGACATTATATAGACCTTAGAAGTTCTACCCTTTTAGGAAACATTACATCTGTGTGAGAAGTTGATTGACAAAGATCTCCCCCGTTCATCTTCAAACCTTTTCCAGTCTTCTTTACAGTGCGTGGGCAGTAGCTGAGATCATATGTGTCACACTAGGCCTTGGTATCTATCCAGCAGATTCGGAACCACGAATTGTTGTTGGTCCAACCAATCTGGAAAAGTACAGGTGTGCATATCTTTGTCTGTCTGAAAGCTCACTGATCTTCCAGAATTCTGTTTGTTATCTTATGGACACTGGATTTATTCAATGTTTCCAGGGAACTTAAAGGTCGTTCAGATGTTACATATAGTTCGGAAGCAGTAGTAAACCTGGATATATCTGAGGTTTCTCTTCCTCTATTTTCCTAATTCGTGGTTACTTTGTTTGAAATGTTGTGGTGTCACCTTTGTTTGTTAAAATGTATTGGTCAACAAATGCTAAACTGCAAATTTCAGATCGAATTTAGTGATGGGTTTCGTAGCGGTATCCGATCGTGGAACAAGTCTGTGCAAAGCTGGCTGGCTCTTTACGTCTACTCGAGAACAAATCGGTTGTATAGGTTTGTGTGATTGCCCTGGTTTTATTTTTCGAAGGGCGTACATATGTGTTACTTTACAAGTGTTCCTCAGTAAATTCCTTTTATTATTAGTGTATTGTACCGTTCATCCATGTACACTACTGTTACTTATTGAGAATTATTGAAGGCTTCCTTTAGAGTTGAACTGACAATGTTTGTGTCAGCTCTCTGGCATGGCACCTACGGAGGATATTTTATGTGAGTATCGTTCATCTCCAAAATGTCGTACGTAAATTTGCTTTAACTGTAAGTGTTACGATGCATAACATCTCGCAGTGCGAGTCGTGTTTGAGCAAATATGGTTATGCTACTACTTTTGTTAACTGACCAAAGACAATGTTTCCATGGCGGCTGCTAACCGTCTGTCTTGTTATTGTTGTAAATTTAGGTCGTTTCTCGTCGTACCGATGTGCACAAGTGTTGAAGATATTATTTTTAAGCACGTGCCCGTAAATCCGATCACGAATCAACGGCCTACGTGGTTTAGATATCTGTGAGTGTTCTTTGCTTTGCTACCAATTTTTTAAAACTATTTCGCTTTCAATATCAGATACATCCTAACTTTTCGATGCCGTGGTTTTGATATGCTCGCCACTGGTTTTCTCTTGAAAAATTTCAAGGATACTCACAGGTATTTGTTTTGTGTTTTGTGTAACTCCTGTAGGTACTTTATTATCCCCTGTACTATCGCTGCTAAATTCAGATTTTGGAGTTCGCTATACTACTGGCTTTTGGTGGTTACGCTACCCATCTACATATTAGACAAGCTATATATATTAAAGGAAAGTTTAGGCAAGTCAACGAGAAAGAAGGACTTGTAGTTGTGAGTTAGCGTGAATTATCGTAGTTGATTGAGGTACCATAGAATTAGTTATCGTAGATTGTTCCGTCTTGTAACAGATCTCTTTTATACAGTATTATTTTCCAACTTGATATTGTGCTATGGTTTAAATGTTGATTTAGAAAAAACACACACGAAATTTTCTTCGCATATACCAACCACAACTTTTTCTCACCACTTATAGATAAAGTATAATTAGACGAAAAGTTATGATGTTAAATATGCCGACATGCCATCGCCATCTTTATCTGAGCTATGTGGTACCAAGCTAAGGATTTTCTTAGGAACATTCGAGAACTCTGCGCGAACTTTTACGTCCGTTTACAATGCGTATTTGATTCTCCTTACAGTTATGCTAATGCTCTATAAGAGCTATAATTTTCTTTTGTAACATCAGCATATGGAGAATTTTGAATCTAGAACAGCTCACATGTTTGCACCAACTTTTTTTTATCCCGAAACTAATACAAAAAATACTAGAGTGATTTTACGTGAAACATTATTGTATCGATGAATGCATTAGTCAGTTATAGAACTGTAGTTGAGTTCATATATGGGCTCTATTGTCGTTGTACATATATATTCTTCCCATCGATATTTCTTAACGTATCGTCCTACGATCAATTCATTCTAAATTAGACTAAATGCGCACATTTTACATATTTATTGTGTAAGCATTTGCATGCCAATTTACTAACAAAACCACGATTTGACATACTAGACACTTTTTGGACGTAGGAATAAGTAAGAACGAAGCAAAAAAAAGATCCAAATAAACCATATAAACGAAGCAAAATGAATCTATACATTTGTCGTTTTCTCGCTCAACATTCTCGAGGTTGTTAAAGAGCATACGTTTACCTCCATACAATAACACACATACAACACAACCGTAACTGACGTTTCGGCGATATCGCCTTCTTCAGAGCCGTTTTTACGTGTCTTCCACTGAGAAAGAGCGCTGATCAGCCATGAATCCATACGGAAATCGTTGTTTGGACAACTGTCTTAAAGGGATCACTTCACGATCATCTTTTCTTCCTGTTCAGTATGAAGCGTCCATTCATTGGTGGTGTATTCAGTATGAAAACTCCCACTGCGTATGCTAACTTACAGTCATTGCTTCTCTTGCGTTTGCAAAACGTGGTGAGTCAGGGTTCTTTCCGAGTGTAGGTGATGATGAAGCCACTCATGAGTTAACATATTGAACATACTAATATCAAACAATAATTGGAGTAAGAGAAAAAATTCAATTCTGAGAGGATAAGACGGAAAAATGTAGCATGTAACGGAAAAATGAACACATATCCACTTCAGTGAAATATGCGTTTCACTGCGTCGTAATAATTCAATGAAGACTGATTTGGGTTACCCATCTCGCCAATATTGCAGGCCGTCGTCCAGCTAAAAAAAAACAAGCCTTGCCATTGTGTTTATGTCTAAGATAGAAGCCCTGTTCTCGATCTCCGGCCACTACTCTACTGCAGATTTGTGGACGATTGTTTTGTCGTCTTCTCTACGCAGGAGGAGATGGACAAATGCTTTGAATTATAGAACGAGCAGTCCGAGTACATAAAGTTCACCCGGGAGAAACGGAGAAAAAACTGGCTTCCGTTTTTGAACGTTCAAATAAACCTATCAAGTAGCGGTTACCTGACAAAGTGGTATCGAAAGCCAAGTAAGAAGAACATTCTTGTCCATTTCCTTTCTTCCCACCCTTCACACACAAAAAGGGCGATTGTGAGAAACATGTTTCGAACAGCCACCTCTGTGTGCACTATCAGGGAACTAAAGGAAGAATCGCGCGACTTGGCTCGGCAAATAGCCATTTCCAATGGCTACGAAATAGTAACCCCACGAGATAAGTTTAGAAGGAGAGCGACGCGCCCACGCGAAACACTTGGCCAAAAGAAAGTTCCGTTTATGTTGCCTTTTACAAGCGATGAAGTAAGCGCAGCTATAAAACGATGAAGGGCAAGTCTAGAGGAATCGGTAGCGATAGTTGAAATACCACCGGCTACTCTACGTCGTCAGTTAGTTCGTAAGGCCTGTATAACCGTCTGTGTGAAACAACAAATTGCGTAATTTGCCCTTACGGCAGGGACGGGGATTGCATGAGTTTAGGTACGATATACCTGATCTCTTGTAATAATTGCGGAGATGAATATATTGGCGAAACGGGCAGACCTTTGTGTATCCGTATAGAAGAACACCTAGACGGGAAACGAAAACTAAGACGAAGCACCTCACTAGGCNCTCTACGTCGTCAGTTAGTTCGTAAGGCCTGTATAACCGTCTGTGTGAAACAACAAATTGCGTAATTTGCCCTTACGGCAGGGACGGTGATTGCATGAGTTTAGGTACGATATACCTGATCTCTTGTAATAATTGCGGAGATGAATATATTGGCGAAACGGGCAGACCTTTGTGTATCCGTATAGAAGAACACCTAGACGGGAAACGAAAACTAAGACGAAGCACCTCACTAGGCACGCATAGGATACAAAAGCATAGCGGAGACGATTTTGATGTAAAAGTCAATATCCTTGCACAGGAGTCCAAAACACCAGCGCGTAAACTTCTAGAGGCTTTTGGATAAATGCCAAAAACCCTGCAATGAATAACAGGGACGAAAGCCCGGAGGTTATACGCGACCTGATCCCGTATGTTCGTATCGATTTTTGATGTGGGATGATGCAGTCGTCAACCATACGCGACTATAATCAGCTGTTATAAACTTCCTCACTGGAAGTCACGAAAAAGCGGTTGGTTTTTCGAGAACTTGTTGATCATGTAATTACCATAGAGTTTTTCGTCTTTTTGTAAGTGTTATTGAAGCGTTTGGCCTAGTAGATTGTTTATCAGTATACCCTTCCAGCGGCTGAAGAAGGCGATACTACTGAAACGTCAGCTAGCGTTGTATTGTATTGTGTTTTCTTTATGGAAGTAAATGTATGCTGTTTAAAAACCTCGCGATTGCTGAGCAAGAAAACGACACATTCATATTCCAATGCCGAGGTTAATAGAAAGTGGATCCTGGATGCTAGGAGTATCCCGTTCAACGCAAGTAAGGGAAGGGTGTCCGCAGCTCCAACCTGCGTCAACGATCAAAAATCAATGATGCCGCTCTGTACGCCAAGCAGTCGAAGATAAGGTGCGCTGGACACGAAATGCGTATGAATGACAACCGATGGCTATTAGTGACTAGATTCCTCGGGATGTCAAACGTACTACAGGAAGACCACCAACCCGATGGTCAGAGTTCTTCACGAAAAGCCTAGAAGAAAGGTGTGGTGCTTAACGAGTCTCTAGAGCCAGCAGAGCCCACTGGGCTACTCTTGCACGCGACAGGGAAAAATGGAAGATTTACTGGCGCCAGTTCAAGTCACTCGACGAGGAGCAAGGCTATTGGTGATTACAGCTGACTCATTCGCCATCCTATAAGAGCAGTCTGTTTATTGGACGAAAACGGTGAGTACTTTCTTACAGATCAAGGTTTCGTTTGTACATTAAATGTTCATGAAGACAATGAAGTGTTTGCCGAATAATAGGCATAATTCTGATATTACAATACGTCTAAGTTCTGAAAAAGGCGAAGTCGGCGAAACGTTAGCCATTGGATTCGAAGAAGAAGTAACAATCTCGCGTTAACCTAGCGAGGACATGTCGTAAGACAGAAATTCATTATTGATGCCCAGGTTTATTTAAAGTCGGCCTTTCGTACTGTAGCTTGTTTTGATTTCCTTATATGAAAGCTAACACTATCAAGAGAGCGATATGATCCAAAAAGAAATCATTTCTGGTCCCACAATACTGGAATATAATGTAAGATCTGCTGAATTGGTTATTAATACTAGCTGATAAATTAGACTATATCCAGTAAAAGTTTTTCCAACTTACTCTTTACCTTCAAAAGTTTTTTGAAATCCTTGTCCTTTCTTAATCACTGCAATATTTCCATCATAAATTCGGTTCTTTTACTCTGATACATCCCCTGCTGCACCTATCCAAGCGTTCGAAATAAGATCAGAAACCGACCAGATCTAAAAACGCAAGAATAGCTAAGATGAGTGACTCTATTTTCCTTCTTACAGACTTAAACAAAGTGTCTTACAGATCTCACCATATTTTTTATAACCTTCGTTTTATGAACATGATTTGAACTCTTGATGTGAAAAGAAGGGATTTTCGTCCTACTCGACAAGTTGCCTGTTTCTTATTTCAAAACTCAGTCGGTATTTGTCTGAAGGGCCATTCAGACCGTGCAAACTGCCAACCAATCACTATATGAGAACTGCCACCCTCGGCTGTACTGATAGACCGAAAGTAAACTTGATAATCATGCTTCTTTTTTTCTTGAACTAGTGTATAAATGATTACATTTATTCATGTAACTATAGAGAATTCGCCACTTTTGTAACGAAATATCGCCTTATTGGAACTAGCTATTCATTTCCGGTAGGGCCTCCCAAGCTGAGGAGTCGGGCGATTCTATCAGGAAACCCAGCTAAGGATAAACCAATAAATGGATCCATCACTGTCGCGATATCAAACTAGCTGCATGGTGGCAAATCACCTGATCCACGAGGGTGGTGGCGAGTGCCTGTGGTGGTGACGACGTGGGGCAGCCCTTGCCTAGATCAACCTTGGGACTCCAGGGAACCACAACGGCTAGACCAGAAGAACTCCGAAAAAAATGGAAATTTTGCTAGGGGCCGCACCATTAGTGAGGACGCTCCATCCAAGTATCCAAGTAAATGTTCGAACTAGCTGCTTTCTTAACACGCACTCTTTAAATGAGAACACGTAATAAATTTATCACCTATATCATTTGTAGTCCCGCTGATCGTCGACAGACTCGAGCGGGCGGCACTAAATCTTCCATTTTTTTCCTGTCGCGTGCAATAGTAGCCCAGTGGGTTCTGCTCACTCTAAGGACACATTGAGCATTACATCTTTCTTCTAGGCTTTTTGTAAATA